CCCCGCCCTCTACTCCGCCTCTCTCGCTAGTCCACCCCCTGCTCCTGGGCGGTCCTAGCCGCTCACCGCAAGAAGAAAAGCCACCCTTCGCCCCCCTCCCCTACCTCCCATCCTTAGCCCAGGAGCTGCCTTCTTCGCAGTCACGCCCCTTCCTTCCGAGGAGCTTTCTGGCTGCTGAAGCTGGTAGACCCCTGATTTATTCCTCCATCTCTGCTCTCTTTCGCTTCATCTTCTCTTAGTTCTTACCGTCCTCTCCACCCCCGCCTCCAGTCTGTCTCGCTTCTGACCATCCGCTGCTCCACCCTCCGGCCCGGTATCCTGCCTGTCCACTGCCACCAAGAAGAACGCGGACGGAGCAGCGAGGAGGGGAGCAGCCAGGAGTTGGGGCTTCCCCGGTGCCCATCCCTGGCCGCCGGCCCGGAACCAAAGCCACTTGAAGTCGTCACCTTGTCTGCGTTGCCTTCAGGGGTAGGAGACGCGTGGTTACTTTACGCGGGGAACTGGGGCAGGAATCCTTGGTGGCATGAACTTGATTGTGCCCTCAGTGTGAGTGAGTCGATCTAGAATGCGTGTGGGAATGCCCGTGTGTTCTACTTTCTTTGCAGTAGCTGGCCGCGAGTTTTCTGAGATGTGCAGTAAGTAAATCAGTAAAGAGCGTGCGCTCCTTTCTCGTCCCACGGAGATGCTAGTGGGTACCACTATTTGATGGCACTTTTACTTTCTCGTCTTCCTGGGGGTCCTTGCAGATCTCTAGGTAACTAAGTACAGAAGGAATTCAAGCACTCAGGAACCTGTAGTCTACATGAAGCTCAGCAAGAATGTCTGAGCTTATCTCAGATCGCTAGAGAAGTTCCTCCTAAATGCTTAGGGTTGGGGTGGGGGCTCACTCCCCTCCCCCAGGGCCCAATTCCTGAAGTCTTGGTGGGCGTGGGACATGTGAGGAAGGGGTTGCCCTTTCTCAACTTTACAGATGTTAGTAACTAGTTTTGCCAGATCATTCTTGAGGGTCCCAAGCCTGTTTTCTGTAAGTGGATGTTTCAGCAGCAAGTTGGACTTTATAGATACTTGAGAATGCAGAGAAAGAAAGTGGGAAGGAAAATGACAGTCTTGGTGCTATGTGAGCAGTCCTTGGTAAATTGCCACGGATGAGAGAATAATGGTAATTTGGGCAAGGGGCTAAGTACAAGTCAATGAGGGAAGGAAGGGAAAGTTTGTGAGAAACAGCACTGTCTCCAGCATATATTTTAGAAGGAACTCTCCAAAGCTATGGAGTGTCTTATTTAACACTCCTCCCTCACCTGCCCCCCTCCCCATGAGGACTGGAAGTTAGGAAGCAGTTTACTACTTTTTTGAATATAACCCTTTCTCCTATTCAGAGAAGAAGATAATTAGTCACCATAATCTTCAATAATGGAGGGCTAAGGGTATTGAAGTCTCCTTGAACTAGGCTTTGTGAAAAGTTCTTTCTTAGGCCAGTCTTTGTGAAGCCGCCTCAGTTTAAGACCTTTCAGCACCCTCACTTAGTAGCTAAGAATAGTTTGAAATGCCATTTTGGACACTGGATAAATCTCTGTTCATCTCCCACCTATCTCCAATTGGGCAAGCATGGTGAATTTGCAAAATTGTGGTGGTCAAAGACCTGTTACCAAGATCTTCCCAAGCCATTGCTTGTTTGGGAATACATTATTATATTTTTAAATAATTTTATTCACTGATTTCAATGGGAAAGCAGGAAGGGAGTGAAGAAACGTTACAGGGTGACAATTTTAAAGGCTATCGTGTTTCAGATCAGCTGGAAGGGAAAATTTGGCCTGACCAAATTACATTTTATAACTGGCCTGGGACATTTTAATAGCCAGGTGGTTGTAGAGTAGTGGCATCTATTTACAGATGATAACTCAGGTTCCAGCTATTCTGTATGGGTTTATCCGGTGTCATTTACAGACACTTTCTGGCACTACATCATACTTCATTTTAAGAAACTTCTTTCTTTGGAAAAGTTTGTGGCTCTGTAAAATCAAAGTGCTATGCTAACTTCATAGACTAGATATGAACAAAATGAAATCTCTCACCATGCTTGTCTTTAAAATTGTGGACCTGTTGACCAATTTAAATCTTTCAGAAAGGAATTGTAAAAATCATATTCAATACGGTTTTGTATCTTGACATTAAAATCTCCCTTCTGGTTTATGAAGTAGAATTTATTAGGCTAATGCATAGCCGTGACATTTTGTGGACAGTTTTCAGAAGGTTTGTAAAGAAAATATCAGCTTCCTTCCAGAAGGCCTTAATAACCAATAACCATCTATTGAAAAAGCAAAGGGATTGATGTTACGACCTTGAGGTCCCATTTAGTGCCAGAATTCTAAGTGGGTGCATCTGCTTTGGTGCCTCTCCTGAGAGCCTTCTCCCAGGGCCTTCCCTTCTTTAAAAAGGGCATCTTTGTAATTAAGCAATCCTTCTCGCCCCACCCCCTTTCTTCCTTTGATCCAGTTTTTTTCAGCCCCCCCCCCATTTGGAGACAAGAGGAACAGTTTCTCACACTCTTCTATTTCTCTATGAAGACTTCTTTACCTTCCCCCCCCAAAAAAAAAGTAGCCTGAGGATGGTTAGAAATTGTTTTGATTTGATGGGGGGGGATGTGTTACCAATGAGGAGGAGTAGAGGATATATTCCCACTTGGGAAATACTTGTGACCAGGTAGCCACCTCCATGGAGACTGGGCATTTGGAATGCATGAGAACACTCTCATCTTAGGGACGGTCTGGAAGAAATTGTCCTTTGCACCCATTAAGGTCAGCTTAAACCCACTGAATGAACGGGGTGCAGAGAGGTGCATGTATGGTCATGATTGAGCCTTTTAGGATGGTAAATGGGTAAGTGTTCCAAAATCTCCTATTACATCACCTCTTTCCCCCCTGGATTCAGTGGGTTTGGAGATCTGCTTGACAAGTTAATTAGCTTGGGACTAAACCAATTTGTTTAGAATTGTACTCCATTGATTTCCTGTCCCCAGGAATTTTTGTTGGTCCTTTACTATGACGTGTTGTCTTTTGACTTGCTTACTTCTTCGTTCCTCTTGCCTTTTGTGGACTTTGGTCCAAAATCGAGGGTCCCACCCCCAAGTCAAAGGTTAGAATTTGGTCCCAGGAAATAAGGGGGCATTAAACAGGCTGTCCATATTGCATTACTGCCTTCCATGGTGGGCTTCTCTCCCCTTTTAACCCACAGAAAGGAGGGAAGTTGCCCCTACACACAACACACACAAAATGAAAACAAAAAAAAAAAGGGGGGGAAAAGAGGGAAAAGCAGAGGCAATTTACTTTATGAAAGAATCCAATACAGTTTCTTTACAGGAATTTGCTTTGCTACTTACTGCTTTTAAACTCTGACTTGGCTATAAAAACTTGCTATAACTGAGCTTCACAGAAACATATTTATTGCATAAAGGGGAGACATTAGAATTTTCTCCTGATGATTATTGCTTGAATTAAGAGAGGCCATTATTTGGCCTTTGAAATCTTTTTTGTTATATGGGATGGATTTAGTTGTCTACATCATTCTGGCTTGTAAATAATGCTGGCCACGTTTAACCTCTACTTGTAGAATGGAGTTTGTTTTGCTCTCAAAGATTTTGATAGATTTCAGAGTAGGAATATATTTCATACAGGTAGAAGATTTTATTTCCAGTTATTTTATTTGACTAACTCAAGTATCCAGAAAACTGGGTTTGGTAATTAATGGCTACGATTACCATTTTTAATCTAAGAATGTTCATAAACCTTACTAGTGTGCTCAGTATTAGAGACATGGGCTCTAGGCTCACGTCCAACTCATTTCACTGTCCTTAGCAAGTTTCTTCCTTTGCAAATTGTGTTGGGTCACACAGGGTGGTTTTGAGAACTAGTTCTAAAAGTTTGTGATTCTCTTTCTAGGTTTTGATTTCTGCTGTATGAATGCACATGATTCTTATTAAAACGAGGTGCAACTGTTAGAAATACAATCATGTTGTCATCAGGATGTGAAAACCAAGCCTGTAAGGATATATCAATATAAATGTTTAACATCTTGACACATCATATTAAAAGCTGAGACCCTGTCCAAAACTTCATGAACTCGTCACCCTAACAGATCACCTGCTTTCATTTTTCCATGTGTCTTTAAAGTTCTGTTTTTGTACTTACATGATTTTACATAATTAGGATCACTGTAATGATGTTGCTTTTAAATAAGAGTCACCTAAGACTTAGCTTTGTAAACCAGTGTGGAGGAGTAAAGTCAGAACCTAAGATATGCTTGAAGAATTACATATGTCTGTTCCTTGAATGTCAGGAGAAGCTAACACATTAATAAGTAGTCCCTCGACCCTTTCTGTGATTTAGAGGTGTGCATGTATCTACCATGGGAGTCAGTTGTGTTCCCTTAACCTCATGTCACCCTCCCCCATTCTTTTTAAGCAAAAAAAATCTAGGGTGTACTGCTTAGTTTTCATTACCAATGATTTTTAAGACACTGGGTCATGATATCTCATCAAGAGGGTACAAATTTTGATAGACTGAAATCTCACAAATGAGAAAGAAAGCAGTCAATCGCATATATTTCCTTTTATAGCTTTGCAATATGTTTAATTTAGACAAAAATGGTATAGAAACTAAGGAGTTTAGACAATGAAACAAAAGACATGTAGGGATAGCAGAATGACCCACACATAATGGGTTCTTCTGTTTGAGGCCTTCACTATTTAGTGAAGTTCACTTACATGGTCCCTGACATTTCCTTTGATGGTGAACATAAGTGTACGTGTAATCTCCAATTTTGGATGGACTCATTTCTGGAGATCAGTGGCTCATCATAAATTAAACATTCAGTTTCTTCAACCAGCACAGAAAAGTGAAGTACAGGTTTTAGTATTTAGCAACTTATTAAGTACAGGAACATTTTTGTAGTATGTGTTCATAGGAAAAATGCAGGTGGATATATTTAGTAATATCTCCTAAGGTAACTTTTTAGAAATTTTACAGGTGGCCCGTGGCATTTGTAAAGTCACTTTCACTGCTACCCTAACTCCATGAAATATCATTGGACTGTGTAACTGGGTTTCTCTGCCCAACACTCTCTGACTTGCCATGTGACCAAGGGTAAATGAATTAGTTGCTCTGAGCTTCAGTTACCCTTCTGGGAAGTGAAGATATTAATACTTCACAGAGGTGTTTAGGCATGCTTCATATTGGGCACATGCTTTGAGGTCATTGGATGAAAGGTGTTTGTATGATGGTGGAGCAGCTTATTATAGGGTCCCTAGCAGGTGTTCATGTTTAATGAGATTTTCTCTCTTATAACATACAGTGCCCTTTGGTGCTCCTTTGCCTTACTAGCTATAATTAAGGTTGTCCCAACAGTTGAATTATTGACCCGCTGTACCTAAATAAATAAATAAACAAACATTTTCATTCTATGTGGTAAATTGAAGTTTAAATAAGAGGACTGTAGCATCTGCCAGGGTGATGAAAAATTGCTGCAGAAAGAGGCATTAGTTGGAATGTGCCATAGAGATCAGTGAGTTCTTCAAAGCTCTTACAAAAGATTAAGAAGAATAAAGCAAATTTCTGTGTGAGTGTGTGTTTTAAGGGAGAAAGTTTTGAGTAATATTTGCTTGTGACACATACTGATGATAGCCAGTAACTGAAACCCAGCCATTGTAGTGTTTTATACACAGCTGGCTTTTATTAATGATGGACTATTTATGCTTGCTGTACAATTCGTGGCTCATTTCCATGTGTATGTCAGAACGTAAATACCCCCCAAAGCAACATTAAGATAACATTAAATATAAATGTGGCCAAGCTAGAAAAGGTGGAATGGGGTGTGTGTGTGTGTGGGGGGGTGTTCTCCCTTATTCTTACTGGTGTTGCTTCGGATCACAGCAACAGCTCCCCCCCAATTTAGGCATTGATGCTGATCTTTTCTTCCCTTTTATGTATCCCATAGCGAACTCCATTTTGATCCTTTTGATAATGACAAATGATCTACCCCCCCCCAATAATGCAGATGAAACTGATGTATGTGTTTTTTAAGAGCATATTTTCCCTGCACATGCTTCTCATTATCCAAGAGGCCTGGACTCAATCAGCAAAGGAGCAGAGAAACCACATAATTGAAAGGAGAATGACGGTGGTGCATACTTGGAATATTTGTGGGAAGGGGATTGCTGACATCAGAAAATGTAGTGGCCTGAGTGTTAACAGCATTGAAGAAGAATAAGCTTGCTGTGTTTCTGTGTATTGAGTATTATTTTTAAGGGGATAAAAATATGGGCCAGGTTTGACATCCTTTTATGAAGTTGCCCTGGAAACTTTGATGAAGGTTGTTATGGAATAATTCAATTAAAACCTTCCTCATTAGAAAGCTAATTAGTACATCACTTACCCATTTTGGTTGTTTTCAAGGGGCAGGGATTTGCATTGAATTAATGACATTTTTTCCATATGATAGCAAACTAAGATAAAAATCACAGATGGGGAAAATTATTTAGATTGCCTATTTTGAAGAAATCTAATTTCCTCTTTATTACATTTAGGTTTTCAGTTTAGATTTTTGTTTCACTCTGTTTATATATAGTGATCACATTTTAGTTTAGTAGCCAGTTTTACTTTCTGGACTGTGGACTGTAAACCAAAGCTTATTAATTTGACTTTCCCATATGAATTGGAGAAGCACAATGAATGACAATAAACCATTTTATTAAGGTAATACTTGGGTTTTTTTTTCCTTTTTAAAGATTTATTTTTATGCATACAGAACTCTGGGGTACAGTCCAAGGTGCAGGGAGTGGGGTGAGAGGATTCACCAGAGACAGAGTGGGGAACAGAACAGGCTGACCTACAGAAGTATACTGCTGAGGGGAGCAGCAGGCAGGCCAGGAGAGGTCTGCTGTGCCCTGTGGGTCACCTTCCTGGCAGTAATCAAACTTGTGCTGCAGTGGCTAGGGAGCTTTATAGTGCTGTGGTTTAACCCATTGCACCACCAGGGAGGGCCCTGGGGTTATTTTCTTCTAAAATTGGTTTCTCTTTGGTGTGTGTGTGTGTGTGTGTGTGTGTGTATGTGTGTGTGTGTGTGTGTGTGTGTTTGGGGAGGCAAAATGTTCTGGTAAAAGCTCATAATTTTTGGAGCTAAGAAAATTTTCACCACAACAACCCCCCCTTTACCCTTGGGAACATTCATTTGGCCTTTGGCTTTTTCAGTGAGGCTTCCACTAGGGCAATGAAATGACATTTCTTACCTGGTGCTTTTTGTAGATTAAGTACTTCTTAAGGCTAGATTAAGTTTTTCTCCTCAGCACCCTGAAGGAGAGAGCGATTATAATGGGAACCCCAGCACTGCTAACACTTTCTTTCTTACTATATCTATTTTAGGGCAATGAATACTTGTTCATGAGGTTTCAGGCCACTTGCTGTAGGGTAGGTGCTCTGGCTAAATATGCACTATGGGTCTGTGCTGTTCCACCTTTCCCCCATAGCGTGCAGGCAACAGTCATTCTGTACATAGATTCCCTGACATTATGCCTGTGGCACAGGCCCGCCTTTTCTTGTGAGTGTGGGAAAGTTGGCTGGGTTATAGGATTTGTAGTTTAACTGATTTCACTCTAAACCTTCCTGGGAAGACTGGGTCTAGTTTTAGTTTTGCAAAGGCAACTCCGTCAAGACAGGTTCTTGGGGCTTGCGAGTAGGCAGGAGGAGGAGGGGCTGCCTTTGGGGAGTGACTCAGGCCCTGTGGTATGAAGATATGAAATGCTGGCTCCTGTCCATGCACCTGCTGAATGCCACACCTGCAGTCTGCACCTGAGCCCCACTCAGACACAAAACCAGACTGAAAGCAGATGGGGGTTCCCTTCTAAAGGGGTACTCAGCAAACTGGGAACACCCAGTTCTGTTGGTGGAGCCCCACTCTGAATTACCTTTAGTCCTTTCAGTAACTGCTGTGGGGAGGGGGCTCAAGGTTTCCTTGGAGGTACAGCACATTGACTTATTCAAAGAGCATGTTGGGGTGTGGAGGGACTTTGCTTTCCTAGTGTATTATTCGCATGCAGTGTCTTCTTAAAAAAAAAAAAAAAGCTGGGGCCCTCCCTGGTGATGCAGCAAGTTAAAGCACAGCACTAAGAAGCTAAAGCCACTTCAGCATGAGTTCGATCCTCGCCCTGGAGGTGACCCACATGGCTCTACGGACCTCTCCTGACCCGCCCACTGCTCCCCTCAGCAGTGTCGGTCAGTCCATCTGCCTGTTCTGCTCCCCACTTTGTCTCTGGTGAATCTTCTCACCATCCCCACACCTCTGGCCTGTACCCCAGTTCTGTATGCTTAAGTAAGTAAATCTTTAAAAGAAAATAACAGTTGGAGAGTAATTTCTGTAGAGGTTATTTTCTGGCAACAGAGTACAGGGTAGGAAGTCACAAGACCTGGGTTCTGATCCTTACTCCATCAGTGAGCCACAGGGAAACCTTGGCTCAATTAGTTATCATTAGATATCTGTCCTGGACTTAAGCATCTCCAGTTGTAAAATGGAATTAATCACATCTGCCTTTATTTCCTCACAGAACTGCTGAGAAGGGCAAATAAGATAACAGAAGTGAAAGAGCTTTTGTCTGCTAAGAAGACTTAGACGCTAAAGGTAAAATTACTATTATTGCTATTAGTGTCTTTCATTCCTTTCCTTCTTTTTCTGTTGCCTCTAGCAAAGTCATTGGGAAGCTGTTATTTATTCAGTATGCAATTACTAAGCATATTTTATATACCAGTTAATGGCTTTGGTGTAGGGAAAGATACAATGAAAAATCATGCACCCAGCACATGCCCTTGAATATCTCATATTTTAGCAATTTCCATCTCTGGAATTCATTCCTGAAATTTCTGCCTGGTTACTTAGAGACTTGAAAGACAAGACTTGACCTTTATTTTTACCTCTCTGCATTGCAACTGGGGGCTTCTGTCCCTAGAGCGGTGTATTACGAAGTCTAGATTAAAGGTACCTGTGGGGAAAAGCCGCAGGGTAAATAAAGGAATTTTCCCTCACTCACATTTGTGAAGTACCTGCTGTTTGAGTCACTGCCTTTTCCAGCAGTCTGTTCTTAGTTTCATTCTTGGCCCTTTGCTCTACCGACCCTTGGAGGAGCCGGAGCCGGAGCCGGCCCGCTCTGGCCTGAGGGGCCCTTAGGTTAGTGACTCCCGGAGGTATGGCTCAGTCCATCTTCGGTATGGCTCAGTCCATCTTCGGTATGGCTCAGTCCATCTTCGGTATGGCTCAGTCCATCTTCGGTATGGCTCA